TTCCTCCCTCCCTCCCTCCCTCCTGGGAAAAGCAGTAAGACAGCGAGCGGGATCCAAGCATAGCTGATCATCGGAACAGCTGATCGTCAGGAAGGAAAAAACAGAAATACCTTAAGGAGTGACTAGGCAGGGGAGAATGCAGTCTGCGACGTTGCGCGTGCACGATAAGGACTGACTGGGCGGGGAGGGGTGGTCAGAGAGGGGTGGGGCCAGCCAGGGGCATGATTTGCGCAGAGCAGTGGTGGGATTCAAACAATTTTACTACTGGTTCTGCGGGCGTGGCCCAGTGGGTGTGGCAGGAGGAGGATATTGTAAAATCTCAGTCAGAGGTGGCATTTTCCGGTTCTCTGAACTACTCAAAATTTCTGCTACCGGTTCTCCAGAAGTGGTCAGAACCTGCTGAAGACCAGCCCTGGTGCAGAATCCTAACAACCGGTTCTATAGAACCAGTCTGAACCGGTAGAATCCCACCCCTGGACAGAAGCAACCTGTCAACTCTGGGATTCATTGTTGCCATAGAGTTCTGGAGGGAGGAAGTGATGTATTGAATAGTTCTTAGGGGCGGGGGGGAAATATTATGAGTTATTAATTCAAGGTCACAGAGAGCGGCGTAGCAAAGAATTGAGAATGCAGATCGTTGGTTCATGTGATTGATGAGGTGTGGAAAAAGGGGGTGGAGGTAGGTGGAATTTCGTGGGATGAGCTGGTACGGTACCAGTCCTTTTTTGTTGTTGTTTTGAATAAATCACTTTGAGAATATGTCGGTCTCCGGAGTTAATATTTCAAACGAAGGATTGCTGGAAGTCTGACACAGTCCAGAATTAAGGAGCAGCTTTCTGACCGTGAGGACAATTAACCAGTGGAACAGGGGGCTGGGCTAGAAGGCCTCCAAAGTCCCTTCTATTCTATTCTATTCTATTCTATTCTATTCTATTCTATTCTATTCTATTCTATTCTAATTCTAAATCAGTATTTCTCAACTGTGGCACCTTTAAGAGGGGTGGACTTCCAACTCCCATAGTCCTGCAGTAGCGGCTGCAAACTTCCGGCAAGCAAAATCAATCAGGTAGCCAGATCTGCTTAATAACCGTGTTACCTGCTTAACAACGGCCATGATTCACTGAATGCGTAAAATGGGCAAAACTCGCTTAACAACTGTCTCAGAGCATTGGAAATATGGGGCTCCGTTGTCATCATAAGTCGAGGACTACCCGTACAAGAATCTAGTCGGCTAACGATCAAAGCTAAGTTGGCGCTTAGATAAGGGTCAGTGGAATTCATAAAGGGCTGGACTTGGGGTCTTTTGTGACAACGCAACGATTCCCAACTGATGACACATTTGACCCCCACCTTCCAGCTCAAACTCTTCTCCTACAGTACATAAGCTGCCTACATGGACTGACTCAAGGGTGGCTTGTGTGAACCAAGAGACCATTCTTCTCCAAGATGTGGAGACTCTAGAAAGAGGGCAGAGAAGAGCAACCAGGATGATGAGGGGACTGGAGGCTAAAATATAAGATGAATGGTTGCAGGAACTGGGCCTGGCTAGTCTAGGGAAGAGAAGGACCAGGGGAGACAGGAGAGCAACCTTCCAGTATTTCAGGGGCTGCCACAGAGAGGAGGAGGAGGGGGGTCAAGCTATTCTCCAAGGCACCCAAAGGCCAGACAAGGAACAATGGATGGAAAGTGAACAAGGAGAGATTTAACCTGGAAATAAGGAGGAATTTTCTGACAGTGAGAACCATCAACCCCTGGAACAGAAGTTGCCTTCAGAAGTTGCGGGAGCTTCATCCCTGGAGGCTTTCAAGAAGAGGCTGGGCTCCCATCTTTCAGAAATGATGTAGGGTCCCCTGCTTGGGCAGGGGGTTGGACTAGATGACCTACAAGGTCCCTTCCGACTCTGATTATCTGTTAAGATGGTGGAGCAGTGCCGTTTCCGAGTCTTCTTGTTTTCCGTTCTCTTTGCCTATTCTGTATTTTTCAGGAAGAGGAATGTCCGATTTTACTCAGTTTTTCTGTTTTTCTTCCCCACACCGTACCGACCCAACCCGATCCGATCCGGACCACCTTCCACAGCTTTTCCTGGATGATGCTAAGGTCAAGAACTTCATCACGTGTTTCAAAGGTAATAATGTCTACTTATTCCACCCCAGATTATAGACCCTTTGAGGGAAGGTTGGGACACTGGAGATAACAGATTAACTGAACGGCAGAGTTGGGAGGGACAACCTATGTGTGTAAACAACTTATATGTAAAAAAATAACCTTATTTTAATTCGTCGTATTGCCAAATTGTTATGCAGAGAAAAGTAACTAATGTGCGATTGGAAGCGGCCTTTGATGCTATCACTAAAAAAGTTTTCTCTATAGAAGTTTTCCTTCTTCGTGGCTCAAAGGCCACTGCTTGCTGTTACTGCTAGCTTTACAAACAAGAATAAGTTATTTTCAAGAGTAAAGGTGCAAGCCATTTTCAATCAGGAAAGAAAGGGATGTATTCTATTGATAAATGATAGTTTTATCTTTATATTCACTTTAAGAATCTTCTGTATTAGAACATGAATTCTACTCCAATATTTCTCACCCTCCCTCTCTCCCCCCTGTGTGTGTGTGTGTGTATGTATGTATGTATGTATGTATGTATGTATGTATGTATGGTATTCAGCTTTGTTGGGTGTTTTCCCACATCTTTATAGTTGTGCTTTTAAAGTTGTGGCAACGTTTCGGCAGAATCTCATCTGCCATCATCAGACTCGTGTATTGGGTTCGTCTTCGTCGTGTGTTTCAGGCTTTTGCAGCCGTTTCTGTTTTAAAGTTGGTGCTAGCCTACTGCTATGCCAGAATGGTTTTTTCTTCACCCTGATTGGTTGGGAGTCTTGGTCTGTGTTTATTGGTCTTGGAGTTTGCTGTGTTCTGCTTGATTGGTGTTTCTAATATCTTCTGTCTGTTTTGTGGCTTTTTTTGTGTGTCTTGATTGGCTGGCAACATTGTGTTTCCTGTATTGGAGGCTTTTAGTGCAGCTTGGCTCCAAGTAAATGGACGGCTATCATTTTTTAGGAAGCTAGGTTTCATCTGGGTGGCTGGCTGGGGTTTGTTTGGGCTGGGGGTATCGGGGTGGTGGTGGTCTGTTTGTGCCCAGGTGTTTGCTTGGCTTGTGGCGTGGAGATTTGCTTTGTTTGTGAGTGCAGGCTTCCAGATAATTGACAGTCTGTGAGGAAGGGAGAGGAGAGGAGAGCAGTGGAAATCTAGGGGCTGGTCCTCGAGACGGAAGAGCCACCGCTGCTAGCGAAGCCCCACCCTAGCTCTGAGGATACAAGGCAGGGGGTGGAGACGAATAGGTGTGGCAGACAACTACTCATCTTCTGTGCTCATAATAATGGAATCCTTGCTTTAAATGCAGAGGGTTTGGCGTGTTTGGGGAACTGGGTCAGACCATATTGGTCAGAGTATTCATTTAATGGCAGAGACCTAGTTAGCAGAGTCAGGGAGTAGGCATGGTAACAGACCAGCCAATGGGAGCTGATCTAGTAAGCGAAACTAGAAGTTATTTCTCCGTTTTGCTCCTGTTGCTGAAGTCGCGTTTCTGCTCCGCGCTTGCAACAGGTTTCGGTTTCGGGTTTGCTCCACGTTGGAGAAACCTACAACTGGTTTTGTTAAATCGACTTAATACGTTTATAAAGACGTTAAATGAAGCATCAGCCATCGGTTGCTTGTTTTTCGGGCGCTGAGTTAACGCTGCAAAACTCTGAAACAGGTTATGGGCCCAGAAGGCCAAAGAAAGACTGGATTGTCGCGAAAGCGGAGAGACTGCCCGTTTTCGAAGTAAGAAACAAGGCAAGAGGCTCTGCGGGATGGCAAAACTCCGAATAACGTTGCTTTGCCGGGAAGCCCCTCTGGCTTTGCACCCCTTTTCCCACCTCTTGCCCCACTGACTGGCCTCTGTTTTTCCCTCCGCTCCTACAGACAAGCAGTTCCTGGTTTTCTTCTTCAAGCAACTGAAGTTGAACCGCAGCGGCCGCTACGAAGAATCCTTCCCTTACCTGTCGCCCTGCGGCCGGGAGCACAACTACGTCCGTTGCGATGACCGGCCCATCGTCTTCACCCACCTCCTGGAGGGACCCCAGGGCCAGCAGTCGCTGTCCTTCTGCGGGGGCGCAGACCGCCTGGCCATGCCCTTCCAGCCGGAGAAGCTGGTCATGTTGGCCGAGAACGGGCGGGTCTATCACCCGGGGCCGGAAAAGGTTGGCGGGGTGGGATTGGTCAAGTCATCCTTGGCCTTTGAGCTGAGCCCTTGCTTTGAGTACCAGGACGGACCCGGTCAGCCACCCACTCATTTCCACTGGCAAGAGAAGAGGCACCCTCTGACGAACGAGCTGCTGCGGTTGATCTGAGGCCGTTGTAGAGTGAGGAAGGCCTTCCAACACTCAGAGGTCTCCTTGTTGGCGCCGTTGGCTTGGCAGAAACCAAACTGCGTCCCTCCTGGGTGCTCGTTTATCCAAGGAGGCCATCTCAAGAAGGTCTTCTCGTTGGCCCTCTTGGGCGTCCTTGGCT